CACCATCAGGAAACACACATGCAGAAACAGACCAGCCGTTGTGTTATATAGTTTATGACACAGATTCCCTCTGTAGGTTAGTACGAGGAAGAAACTCAGACTCACAGATGTTCTGTGCGTATTGATCGCTGTACAGAGGTTTGTTTAACAGATCAAGCCTGCATTGGCAGCGTTGTTGAAAGTGGTTCACAGTTCTTTTTGCGTTTAAAAGATTCAGCATTCGTACCTTTAATCTTAAAGTCTCTTCACTGTCTTTAAATAATGGATTGGTATTATTCATAACCAATGATGATAGCAATTTTTATTAATAAAATCAGTATTACATTTATATTAAATTTAATTATAATGTAAAGTACAAAAGATGTACTGAAAAGAACAACTGTTTATTACTTTTTAAACCTGGAATAGAAAAAGCCCCGAAATTATCTTCTGGCAAGCCTAATCAGCCTATTCAGAAGTATAATAATGATAAAAGAACATTAATATTCTGTGGTACTGATATGCTTCTCCATATATTGTACATCACTAGATTTTACACACACACACACACACATATATATATATATATATATATATATATATATATATAAATATCAGTGTGTATTAATTATACACTTATAAATTACATGTGACCCTGAACTGCAACAAGTCATTTTATGTACAAAAAAGTAATTACATTCTGCCTTTAACTTATTCTATAAATTGAGATTCAATTTGCAGATAAGGACAAGATTTATATATCATCATTCTCCCAGTTCATTCTTGCTGTGTGCTCAGGGCCACACCAATATATACTCACATGCATCAACTTGAACAGATCATCTCTTGTGGTTTGATGCAGATCTGCTGACTGTTTGTCTGCTGTCAGAGTATGTTGGGAAATTCATCCATCCAGGAACAATGGTGGATGAGTTCAGGGTGATCAAATCCAAACATCTAGTGTTATGAGCGGGACTGTATGTGACTCAGGGTCGTGTGTATTTTTGTGTGGGAATGTTCGTCTTGCTGCTCTGGACGGAGAGATCATCGGGATGCCATGACATATTTTGTGTTCAGGTCAGCGAGATGCTTCTCTTAAGTATGCTTGTGTGTTCTAGAAATGATTCAAAAGAGCCGTGACATGGCCTGTAACCAAATTAGTTCCAGCAGGTCCAGTTTCTAATCTAGAGTTCTTGACGTTTATGGTGAAGTTTAAAGTGGCCCCATAAAGTATTCAGACATTTAAGCCACACAAAATGTCTGAATGTCATTCCATTACATACGCAATCTCAAGCCAAGTTACATTTGCAAACAATTGATGGAAAAACCATCAGAGACCAAATTTCAGAGACATTTTGCTCCATCAGTTACAGTATTTAGGGTTTTTGCCACTATTGTTTTAGAATTTAAAACATGCCTTTCTTTAAAATAAACATTAGTTGGTTTATTAAAATGTGTAAGTGTTCAAATACTTGTGGAAAATCCAGCAACATTGTACAAAATTCAGAACTGAAGAATTGGCTCCATTTCAATTCATGAGTGTGAATTTGAATTGAATTAGCCACACCCAACAGGAAGTTGAATTGTAATGAAAGTAGCATTTCAAACATCTATCTGTCTGTCTGTCTGTCTGTCGTTCTATAGACCAATTCAGAGTAGACGTCACAGTTACGTCACTTGCAGCTGCGCGCACATAGTGGTTGCAGAAAACACTGGGAACAAGTGGAGATAAATGGGTAAAAGCCATGGAATAAGAGAAAAATATATATTTTTGTGCCTTTTGATGTCAAGATCGAAATGTAAATAATTTTTATAGAATACTGTCGTCAAAGACGCCATTTGAAGCTAAACGCAGACATTTAAATGGACATACTATGGATGAAAACTGTTATGATTACTCTACTTTTAAAGCATAAATTCGATTTAAACAATAGGTCTACATAATATTCACATATGCTTTTCATAGGGGACTTATTGTATTAGCCCTACAGTTACAGCATGAAATATTATTTAACGTTAAACCCTAGTATTAACATTTTTACATAACATTTATTTTATCTCACAATTTTGACTTTTTTTCTCAAAAATGCAAGTTTATATCTCCTAATTCAGACTTTATAACTCGACTTAACTCAAAAATAGTGAGTTTGTCAAATCTGAGGGAAAAAAGCCAGAAGAGCCAGAAAAAGAAAAGAGAGAATGACGAGTTGTTTATCCTTATTAGAATTGTGAGATATAATCTCGGAATTGCGAGAATAAAGTCAGAATTTAGAAAAATACATTCAAATTTACATTTTTTTTCATTCTTTTATTCCATGGCTCCATAGACTGCCACTTGAAAACCGTAATTTTCTGCCTCCAGATAGGCTCCGCCCACAACAAACGTCATCCCTGTTTCGGATCTGTAAGACTATCCCACTCTCTAAAGTCAATTTCCTTGAATAACAGTGCTTATCGCTGGGTGACAAGCTCTTGTAATATGCAGAGAACATTTTGAAAATGACATCTAATCAATATAATTTATAATCTTTTTAAACCTAACTATTTTGTACCCTATCCGTGAAATTCTCTAGCCATAAAGGCTATCTCTCCCAGGTTTTCTGCAACCATGATGCGCGCGCATCCTGAATGTTTACAAACCTATAATTGGTCTATTGATTGATTGTTCTATTTTTCTTTCTACTTGTAAGGACTTTTAAACTTTTAAACTTCAAACTTTTAAAACAAGACTTTGTCAAGCTAACATTTTTTTTGGTTGTCTTGACAAACTTTGCCTTTCTAGTTAAAAATTGGTAACACTAGTATTGGGACCAATTCTCACTATTAACTGGTTGCTTATTAGCATGCCTATTAATAACATACTGCCTGTTTATTAGTACTTATACTGTAAAGCACATATTCTGGATGACTATATTCTACATCCCTAATCCTACCCAATACCTAAACTTAACAACTACCTTACTAACTATTAATAAGCAGCAAATTAGTAGTTTATTGAGGCAAAAGTTGTAGTTAATGGTTTGTTAATGGTGAGAATTGGACCTTAAAATAAAGTGTGACCAAAAAATTAGTTATATAATTATTATAATATTTTGAACTTTTAAATTCAAATTTGAATTCGAATTACAATTCTCGATCCTGCCTCAATTGAAATGCAGGAATTTGAGGAATTCTAATTTAATTCAAATCCAGTTATCTAGACCTTATTCTGTAGGAAAATGATAGTTACATTTCCCCTGTTAACTGTTGTTACTTCCTCTTGTTGTTTGGCTCTCACCTCATTTTATCTCTGAGGCTGTAGAGATTCTGTACAGAGGTCATTTGTGATCTCATGTGCGCAGCTTTAACAAGATGCAGGAAACGCCCACATATGCTCCCCGTTGTCTGCTATCACACTTTATAAAGCCCTATAGTGGGAAACTTCATCAGCCCACTACAATCTACAAACTACAATCATGACTCACGGATTCATGATGAATCACTGTCTGTGTGTTTGAAATAAAGCTTCATTGAGTCACTCCATTCACACGCACAGGCTACGGGAGACACGTAGTACGACAGGGCGTTTTTTCTCAACTGCCGTCTGCAAGCGAATGCGCTCTTCGCTGCATTCCAGTGCAGCTTTGCTCGAGAATTACTCCAAAAGCATCATTAAAAGATGTTTCCTCTTCTCTTATCTTCTGAGTGACTTAGCATCATTGTTTGAATTCAGCTGATTTCTATGTCCTGTTGTCCTTACGATGGGCATCGTGCCAGGTAGAGGTTGCCATGACTCCCAACGCCACCCCTTTTCAGCCCCCCTGGAAGGTGGCATTTTATTTGTGGAATGCTCGGCGAATGGGTTGTATTTTAGACAAAAGATGTCTACTCGACATCAGCTGAATGCTTCTGGGCTCAAGCAGAATCATGTGACCCACTGGTGAAGGTTTTGTGAGGGTGCCAGAACAGAAAAGGAGAAACTTGGAAAGCAGTGCTAGTGAGAGTTCTTTCTCTTTTTTCCCCCTCTCTTGTCTTTTCCTTGCTGAGAAAATGGCGGACTACGCAGATTTTCTTATTTAGCAAAAGTATTTTGGTGGCACTTGTATATGTCAGTCCCCTGTGTTCATTTTGAATCTCACAGGTTGTTTTAGTTGGCGTAAAATTGGTGCTCAAACTGTTTCCGAAACTCTAAAACAAGTCATGATTCGGTGAATGAATGGGTGCAAAAACCGCCGCCCACTTTGAAATGGCTCAGTTTTACCGTGAGTTGAACATTTAAGTCTGATGAACATCAGCAAGCAGGTGAGACAGTGAGAGGACAGCAGCTGTTTGTGAAATGCTCACTTTTCCCGCCTCGACAGATTGTGTGTTTCTTTTAAAACCGTCGTGTACTTGTCTAAGCTCACCCTGTTCTCACAGACAGTCACGCATGGCGTTCTCTGGCAGGGATGTGTTCGAACAAGCTGTTTCCGCCAAGCTTTTCAGTATTTCCCAGCTAGAGTGTTTGTGTAGCCTTATAATAATTACAATTTGATTCAAGTGAAGCATTTTTCCCCCCATTTATTTAAGTTCCTTTGTGTTGGACTTTTGTCAGATTGTTCAATCGGTTATTTACTTTCCTTATTTACTTTCATAACACATAGTCCTGGTCTTATTCTACTTGATTTACACAACTACACATTATTCTAAAGAAAAATGTTTGCCTTTGGAATCATTTATCAAAATGTAATAACTTGGAAATGACTTTCCTTTTCAGATAACATCATCAAGCCCTCTTATTTTTTCAGCTCTTCCCCAACAACCACCTGTCATGTAGAAACACTTTTCTGGATAAAATAAAGTCCCTGCCTATCTTTCTTTCCTCATTAAATATCCTGACTCAAAAATATGTTATATTATGGAAGCAAAATTAACTGAGAATGGCATTTAATTTAATTTGTTTTCTACACAAAACTGAATTGCATTACTCTATGTATCTGCTATAGACTTTTAACTGTGAACGTATTTCCTGATGTTGTAATTTCTTTCTCTTCACTGCACAGAAATCAGGAGCAGATATGGATACATCTCCACTGAAACTCGACCAGGTCAGTGGAAGATGTTTTTGACTTTCTCCTCTTTTCTATATTTACAGTGACTCCATGACAGTGTTTTGTTCATGTAGGGAGGAATGTTTTTGTGGTTTATCTGATCTGATAGCAACACCACAAAGACTCAGAGACATGAGTATGACCTGGGATTGGGTTTCATATGAAGCTTTGACCACATGTCACAAACCCGTAGATCCGATCTTGTGGCGTAATCTGCAACCCAAGCTCGATTCTGTGGGTCTCTGTCACTGTGGTGAACTCAACGCACTCTTTGAACTCGCTACAGCAGTGGTTCTCAAACTTTTTTTTAGGTGTTGGTAGGGCTGTAGTACTCGAGTCCAGACTCGAGACATTTTTCTATCGTCTCGGACTTGTCTCGGACTCGTTGGTGTTTGCACTCGGACTTGGTCATTGGACTCGCCAAATGTTCTCGTTGGTCTCGACCGAGTCCAGCAATATGCTTTTTTCTCCTTCAAAACAAAACCACATTTGCATGTGTGCACCTGCATTTGCACCTGAAAACGCGTGGAAAACGCTAGGCGCCGCTTGAAAGATGAATCGTATTTTCATTGTCATTGCAGTATGAACATGTTATTTAGCAATGGGCACTGAAACGTGCTATGAAATAGAAGAGTTGGTGGATTTAGGCGCCAGAGTGCAGAATTCAGCACTCAACAAAACTCTGGCGTTTCAGCGATGACTCATCTGAATGCCTTTGATTGGCCATTGCATTAATAAACTCAATGGAATCTTATGTTATTGGTTGTAATGTTCAGTGCTGTAAAAACAAACAAAAAAAATTTAGTTTTATTTCTTGGCCCTAATATGCAGAGTTAATTATTCATTTATTTATCACAAGTAATCATCATTGCAAAAAAAAAAAAAACTCCACTGTTATCACATAGCAGAATTTCCTCATATCGTGCAGGACTATTAGAAAGGCAAAATCAATGCAAATCAGTGGATTTGTCTACTATAATAGGATAGGTGTGTTAAGGCCAGTTGGAGCTAAACTCTGCAGGGCACTGGCACTCCAGGATCTAGTTAGGAGACCCCAGTCCTAGAGAGTTGTTACTTTGCACATGCTTTTTGATCATTACAAATAATAATGTAAAATGATTGTCTTAGAATAAGAGTTATGCTGTCTCTCGCATCACATACATTATCAATAGTTAAGTATGTGGTCTTGAAGAGGATCCTTTTGTTTTCTCTCATTTGGACTCGGTCTTGACTTGGACTCGAACCTCTTTGTACTCGGTCTTGACTCGGTCTCGACTAGTCCTAGTCTTGAACTTGTCTTGGACTCGACAAAGCTGGACTTGACTACAGCTCTAGGTGGTGGGCCACAGCATAAAAAATGCACAAGCCACCAGCTACCTTAAAACAATTACCAGGTTTAGTAGTGCACAAATTACCTTAGTTTATAAGGGTATTCCTTAATACTGCTGTTTTGTTCTTATTTCATTTAAATAAATTAGACTTTGTTTGCTATAAATGTCTGTACATTTGCGTACTTTACTAAATGAGACAACAGATACATCATTATCCAGGTTGATTAAGCAGTCAATAAATTCTTTGTTGGTGCTTTTTATCTATTATAATCATGTCTTATCTATTTTATTTGTTTAATGAGCCAATCAAAGGATGGATTATTTGGAATCTTTCAACATTTGAGAACTGCTGCTGTAAATGGATGATCTGTAGAGAATTTGCAAATGCATCAAATCACTGATGCAAAAAAACTAAAAAGTTTCTTCTCTGAAGGAGCAGAAGTTGTTTTTGCTCCAGGAGGTCCAGAGGAATGTCAGTGTGGACGTGTGCATCCAGGCTGAGGTAGTAGGTTGTATGGTTTCGAATGACACCATGGGAGTTAACTGTACAACCTTCTAGCTTTCCTTGGAGTACACTCATTTCATCAAGCAAGACTTCAAAATGGCATCCTCTGACTCACTTATTACAGAATATATAATATGCTTTTTCCACTTTTGAACACATGAAGTCTAGAGATAGATATAGGCTTGTAGGCTTTCAGTGCAGTAACACACAGATGAGTCTGAGTAATACAGATAATTGATGTTTCCTGTTCCTTCAGAATGGACAAGCTGCCAATTTCATAGTCATTTACTGTGTTGTGCATATCTGCTGTTGGACAGAAGACACGCAGCATATTTTTAGTAATATAATACACATCACTAAAACGACAGCAGGAACCACCACAGAAATCACCCAGTATCTCTTTCAGCTGATAGAGTGTGATGTCAAATTGTCTTGTGTTTTGTCATCACTGCTGCATATCAGTCTGTTTTCCCCTGAGACATTTGTGATGGCTGTTTATAATCAGACAGCATTGGATATTTGGAAAAAAGCAGTAGGGAATGGTCACAGCGGTTGACTGGTCTGACTTTTCATATTTATCTTTATATATTTATTTTTTTTAGCAGCACTTCTTTAGTTAGTGTGTTGACAGCATGCTGTGCTATCACTCTTGAACTGAAACACCCTCTTCGAAAAGTTGTGTCTAATTCTTTCTCTTTGAAGTATTACATACACATGAATTGTTCAGACAACACAATAACTAGTTGATTTTGAAAGTGTTGTTCTGAACATCCCTAAAAAGCAGTAAACCTGCACATATGAATCAAACAACATTTAGAGAACAAATATTTTCTCATTTCTCATTCTTTGAGTGATATATAACATGAGATTTCAGTTGTTAGCATCCAAAAATAATTTCCCATGATCTGTCTGTCATCGGATTCCCAATCCGTCAGCTTCTAGATGTATTTCTGTGGCCCTGCTAAAGACCCTGACATCCAGGTTTTAATCCCCCCCCCCTGAATCATTCAGGATTAAAGGGATTTTCAGAGGCCCAGGCCATAAACAGAGTGTGAAATGGAATATCTTTACTGTAGCGTACAGCGCCAGTGTTGTTAGCTTCTGGATCCAGTGGCGTTTCTAATAATCAGCACTAGGGTTGGAAAGATAGCTACAAAATTGGCATCGGACGATGTCTACAGTGAAACATTGCGATGGACGATGACATCGTGGAGCCGGGGGGGTATTTAGAAAGGCACGGAAAACAAATTACGTTTGCTAACGGTTATCTGTTACATAGTACTTAAAATTTCACTTACCACATAAACAGAGTAAGAGATGACTGAATGCTTCACAGTATATACTGTATAATGAATACTTTTTAAAAATAGGAAGTGAAACTGTAAAATTCGTAAAATTATTTCAGATAGTAGCATGATACATGTTTATGAACATCATGTTGCATGTTAATTCAGCAAGTGGCATTCTGTAATACATTCAGCTATTTTTTTATTATTTTTTATGTATTTTTATTTATTTATTTATTTTAAAGTGAGATGTGTATAACATATTTGTTTTATAAATAAATGATTTATATAAAAAATATATATAATTTTTAAGCGTTCTTCTTTTTTTTAGACCTTTTGGCAGTCTGATCAAATAATAAGCCTAAATATTGCAGCAAAACTTACCTCTGGTTCATCCATCATGCTGGGAATGAAAGGTCAAGTCAAGCACACTGCTTTATGGCATACAGAAGTGCACTCTGTAATATGTTGTATACTGCTCATTTGTGTAAATTCTAGAAGGTCATCTGGCTATTTTATATTGAATAAAGAATATTTACATATTGTACATCCTAGTTTAACACTCTTTATACACTGATGTTTAAAAGTTTGGGGTCAGTAAGATTTTTTAATGTTTCTAAAATAAGTTTCTTATATTCACTAAGACTGCATTTATTTGATCAAAAGTACAGTAATACTGCAAAATATTACATTTAAAACAAGTGTTCTCGAAAGTGAATTTTAGACAATGAAATGTATTTCTGTAATTGCAAAGCTGAATTTTCAGCATCATTACTCCAGTCTTCAGTGTCACATGATCCTTCAGAAATCATTCTAAAATGGCGATTTGCTGCTCAAGAAACATTTCCTATTATTATTAATGTAGAAACAGTTGACCTGCTTAATATTTTTATGGAAACCATGATAAATTTTTTTCAGGATGAATAATCTTTGATCAATACAAAATTCTATAAATGATCAATTTCTTTAAAAAACGTACTGATCCCAAATTTTGAATGTGTCTATGCAGCATCTTAGACCAGATGACATTACTGTAAAGTGCATTCATATGTCATTTGTTAAGCATCTTATTAAGACACTGATTGTCGAAATAGTGTGTCTCAGATAATTCAGTATTCTTGGAATTAGATTAATCCAGCAGATCAGCATTTGAAAACTCTTTGAATTCCTTGTTTGGGAATGTTACCAAGCTAAAAGTAGTGCTTTTAAATCAATTGAGTATTTGGCAGCAGGCATGTCTTTGGCATTCAAACTCAAGGTTTTCTTTTGCAGTATGCTTCCAAAATGTAGGTTTATAAGCTTTTGTTCTCATTTTTCAGTGGTGTGTTGAAGCTATGCACTTAACAGCCTCATATGTCTGCCCGGCGTCTTGTGTTGGTGGGTCTCCAGCGTGAACGCCTGCAGACTGTGAGGCCCAGTGTTCATGAAGTATTTTAGTCTGGCCTGAAAGCGTCTGTAAGCACACATAGGCCCCACAGCAACACAGCCAACATGGTGAAAGGGACTTAACTCCTATCAATTAAGCACAGACAAATGAGCAGTGAAATAAACGAGGATTCAATGGGCAAGCGTAAGAGTCTCCATCATTGATTCCCCTCTCACACGACGACAGGGTTGGAACGGGCTTAGCGCGGCCCCTCTAAAGCTTGAAAAGACACGGCTCCTCTACCCAAGGCTTAAGTCCACTTCAGTCCCCTTTAGTCGGGTGTCAGCTGTGTTTCTCTGTCAGCCAAACCTTCATGCAGCTTACATCTGAATTCTGTTTAGGCTCTTAGCATTTAATTTATAGAAAACAGCAGTCAAAACTCTTAAAGGGATAGTTCACACAGAAATAAAAACTAATTTGCTCACCCTCATGTCATACACTTTTATTAT